CAAGTGAAAGGTCTCGTTGTATTTGGGAGACCAGCTGTTGTTCTTGGATTTGGTCTGAAATCGGCGCTTCTTGTCGCTGAGGTGCGGCCCGATCATCGTGACTTCCACGAAGGGTCTGAACATCCCAGACGTCTGCCACTTCAAATCACTGGCTGCAATCACTGCATCAATGACACAAACATTTAAACAGAAATGACACTAAAATGCTCCAGCTTTGATTTCATTGGTTCAAAATGAGCCCAAACGGACCTTTGAGAGTAACTTCGCTCTCCGCTTTGGGATGAGTGTACAGCTCAATCTGCAGGGAAACCTCTCCGATGGGTTTTGTCCACAGCTGAGCCTGGTTTAACACAAACAACATTTGGTCCAATGCAGGCAAAGAAAAACCACGTTTTATAGAGTCATGCGACGGAAACGCAGGTTTCACAAAACAGAAGAGAGAAAACGATGAAGGGAAGTTGGGCTGATGATGATTTCATGGAGACCTACCCCTGCTGGCTGGATTTTCTCATTAGGGGTTAACCTAATACCCTTCCCATTGTGCACTGGCACAGAGGCAGCAGGAGATAAAACAAGACAGCAACTTAAACAACCAAATCCAGGAGATAAAAGCAGCGAGGAATCTGAAACTCTCCCGTATTTAATCTCCTTTGAGGCGTTTTGGATCTACCCTGTGAATGCTGCGTGGTCACGAAGGTTTTGATGAGCGTGTCGGTGGTCTGGGTGTTAGAGCGACAGAGCGTGGCGGAGCGACGAAGCTCAGCGCTCTTCTCCAGGAAAGTCTTCTTCAAGCCGTTCCCGCCCGCATGAAGTATGCTGCGTAGGAAACAAAAGAGAGGACTCAGCGTTCTACAACCTGAATGATTAAACTTAAAGTGGAGTTAATCTGACTTTTAGTTAATCAACTAAAAGACTCTTAAAATGTGAATGAATTGTACTTTTCTGTTTGACCAGAGGTCAACGTTTCGCTCTCACCTTGATGGTATCCAGAGCCACATCATGACGGCACACTGCCTGGGCGTCAGGCTTTTAGCGTCTCCTGCCATGTGATCCTAAACAACCCAAACAGGACTTTGACTAGACCAATTCACAGGAGAAAGCAAACTCAAGGCAACCTGATACCTTCAGTTTGGAAAGGTGTCCCAGTTCTTTAGCAGCAGAAAGGATCTGTGCTCCCTTCAGGAAAAACAGAAAAATGAATGATTCTTTTAGTTTTCAGAAGCCTTGTTTCAATTTTAAGTATCATATTAGTAAAGTTTGATGGAGATGGAAAAAAAGCATCGATAAAACTCATGTTATACATAAGTGAGTTATTTATCTGCTCTATATGTGATTGGATGATGTTCAGTTTGTTGAATAATAATTAAACTGAATATGCCACAGTCATCATTTTTAAAACATAATGCATAAAAATATTTTTTGTGTTTGGTCACGTCTGTCAAAATGTTTACATCTCATCATCTGACACAATTACGAGTTGATCCATTTCAAAATGGCAGCCATGTTTCCATCCAGCTGTGATTCAAATTTTGAGCAAATTTTTAATAATAATGTATAAAAGAAAATGTAAATTACACTGCAAAACCATAAACTCTTACCAAGTATTTTTGCTCTAGTTTCTAGTGAAAATTTGATGAATGTGAATTACAACATTTAACTTTCTTTTGGGATCAATAAAAGTATGTTTGAATTTGAATTTAAAATATCTCAGCACATTTTAAATAAGACAAAAGTAACTTAATAGTAAACTTATCAGAAGAAGAAGCTTGTTTTAAGTCGATAATTCCTTAATATTGATTAAAAAAAAGTAGTTGGCAGATTATTTAATTTAAGGAAAAATGTTTTGTTATAAGTGAAATAATCTCCTACACAAAATAAGTTCATTACATTATTTTGCCCAAAATTATTGAAATAAAATGAGATTTTAGTCTGATTATATGTCCCTTGTAATATTGCAAAATATTTTGATTTAGGTGAAATAATCAAATTTGATCAGCAATATTAAGAAATTATTGACTTAAAACAAGCTTCTACGATAGTTTCACTGACAATAGATCAAAAATATTTGGTAAGATTGTGTTTTTGTTATGTAATTCACACTTTTTGACAACATTTCAAAACCATCTGGATGGAAACCTGTCCAGTGACGGAGACGAGCGTCAGACTCACCAAGGTGTCGTTCCCTTGCGGCGGACGATGTTCTTCTCCAGGTGGTCATCACGATCCTCCACAGCTCCTTCAGAACGCGCTTCAGGACGGTTTTCTCACACACCGTGGCGAACAGCGTTAAATCTGCAAAAAAACAAGACGTTCACACACACGCCGACGGACGAGCCGTGTTTGGGGAAATCCCACTGAACCCACTGAGCATCCAGGAAGTCCATGAGCGGCCGCAGCATGTTGTCCGAGTCGCCCTCCACTGGTTCTTGGTGTTTTCGTTGAGCGGTCCTTTGATCTGGTACAGCAGACGACGCCCATCTGCCGCATGCAGTCGGTGATGCGGCTCTGGAAGCTGCAGGAGAAGAAAAGCCAGAGTAATGCCTGGGACAAAGTGGGGGAAACTGGGGGTGTGAGGGCGGCGTACCTGTTCCCAAACGTGCTGCTGAGGTCGTCCAGAACGTTGTTGAGCCGAACCTGCAGGTCGTTGAGCAGGCGCTGGCCTCCGTGTCCATCTGGAGGAGAGAAAACCCTCAAGTTCAAAAGGCTGACAAAGGTTTTTAGAGAAAGAAAAAGGGAAATAAAACTGGGAAGTTTTGGGATTTTACTGCGACTCAGAACCTGGAAGCTAATTACTTCTAAAGCTGAATTATTACAAAACACCTGAGAGTCTACGGTTGCATTACGAGTCCGTTAAAACACCTTGTTGGTGTAGTTTGCATTTCTACTCATAATAACATGCATGTTACAGTTCACCTCCTGTAACACGCATGAACTCACCTCATGATCCTCACATGCATTTTCTCTCTATGTGGCAGAAAGTTGGGAGGTAAAACAAGACATTTTGGATGAAATGCCCCATTTTGACACTCATCAAGTGGAAAATTGCATATTAAGAATCTAATTTAGGATATTCTGCTTGTGCCTACCTTCTCAAACGGTTCGTCCATCTTTGAGTCAGAAAATTGTTAGAGATATAAAAAAACACAAACAGTGTCAACTGTCCTGAAGAGGTGGAGGAGCTGTATAAATCCAAATGATTTCTGGACTTTTGGTGAATATTAAGGTGATTTAATCCAAGATAACATGTTTAACCACCTCTTCTTCTCAGTCTATCACACATGGTTTAGAAAAGGAACAAAATAAAGTTTTTAAAATGAAAAAATACAGTTGAAGGTGACGTGAAAGTGGCGCTTTTATGGGAAATAAGGGAAAATGCTGCTAATCTAAAGAGGAAATCCTCACAGATGAGAATCAAACCAGACAACAAAACTCCACCATGTTGGATGTTTTCGTTTCAGTTTGGGGAAAATCTTTGGAAATGACTTTGGATTTGGAGAATGAAGGATGTTAAAAACCACTTTCAACTGCAACAAACCTCTGCCTCCATTTCCTCCCCTTCCTCTTTAACTTCCTCCTCTTCCTCACTTCCTTCAAACTAGGAGTTGCAGTAAAGAGGCAACAAAGGTTTTGTCTCGTTGCTTCATTCAGATAATTGTGCAGTGGTTTTTTAAAGTTATTTTTAAGACATATATGCAGTCATGTTTTACATGTTTGCATATGCAGTGGACTTGCCTGCCATGCTAGCGCGCTGTTCTTCAGCTAGAAAAGCAGAGAAAAGGTAGAGAATGTCTTTCTCCAGCCACAATTACAAGAACTGACTTTATATTGAGTTAAAACGTGGATACTATCAGAGAAAAACAAAATATTACCATTTATTTTTGGTCTAGTTTATTGTTCAAGTACATTTGGACACTTAAAATGAAACAAAACTAATTTCAGAAAGATATATGAGCTGAATATCAGTTTTTTCACAGTTTGAGATGCATTAAGTCTTAGATTATTCTTCCTATAAAGGAAAACCTGCAGATTTGTCCGCACAAAAACTTTTGAATTGCACATTAAAATATTAATTTAACAGTGATTTGTATTTTCCAAGGCAGCCTTAATTTTCTTTTATATGATTTTAACATAGTGCATTTCCTAACAATCAATAACAAATCAAATTGATATGATGTCAAAACTGGAATCTATCACTAATTTCTTATCAATTTCATCTCTACAGATTGATAAAGTAATTTATATCAAACTACGTCGTCAAATAAGTTGAGGAAGTTCTCATTTTGTTGCACATTAATTAGTTTTTTTTTCTGTGTTTATTGCCAATTTTGTCAAGGTGATAAAACAACATGAAATAAAAACTGGATTTGGATTTTCCATGAGCTTCTACAACTGCAGCTAGTGAGAAAAAACTACTGGTACCAGCAAACTGCAAAGCATCAACGTTTGAGCATAAAAAGCAGAAGCTAAAGAACTCTACAGCTCTGGGACGACTCCTACAGACTAGCTACTACCGTCTAGTCAACGATCCACCCACCAACGGTTTTGGCTCCTCATCCTCTGCAACAACCTGCTGTTCCAGGCAGATACAAACAGTCAGTGTAGATGAGTTTTATAAAGAGAAACATCCGCCCTGAGCAGACTGTGACCCAAACCTACCTCCTCTTCTCCTGCTTCCTCCTCCTCCTCCTCTGTGATTTCGTCTTGCTTTAATTGTAAAGTAAATAAATGTGTTGATCTGCAAGCTAACCTACAATCCAACCAAAAACCAACCAGAACTGAACCAAAACCCAAACACTAAAACTCCAGTGACTACAGCCCAGAACCAATCCAACGACTCCCTTCATCTACCAAACAATCCAAGCTAGCGCTAACGTACATACCCGCGCTTCCTCTGTTGCAGTCTGACACAGAAGGAGCAAATTCGAATGCGGATCAACAACATTTTTAATGTTTTGTACTCCTAAAGCCTTCCAACCTGACCTGTTTCCCATTTGACTCACCTGCTTGGCCCCCATTGACTCAAACATTTTCTCCAGCTGGATTCTCAGCTGCTGCACGTTGTTCATGAGGACACAGGGCTGCAGGAGGGCATGAGCAGATTCATCAACAGCACTCACAGCTACTCATTTAAAATAAATATTCATTATAAGAATGTGTTCTATGACAAAAAACTGAACAACTTACAATCTTCTCCTTGTCAATATAAGAAGGAAAGCTCTTGGTCAGGATGGCACTGTACTGCAGGAGAACTTTGGCGATTGTCTGCAAGAAATGAGAAGTCAAAGAATCGGTCCAGAAATCTGTAATGTGCTAATAAATGTTCATTTAGCCACTAAATGTCATGTTGCTACAGTTCTTTAGCCTGAAAATATCATGTTGGGATAGTGGTTAGCATCATCTTCTGCCAAATATTATGTTAGCATAGCGCTTTAGCATTAGCTTCTACAGTGTTAGCCTAGCATCCTGCGATAGCTGTCAGTAAATACGATGTTGGTACATCTCCTTAATATATAAATACCATTTTGGTATAGCATGTTGGTGTTTGGCTTTAGTGTTAGCTTCTGGTAAATATTTTAGCCTCGATTTCCACTAAATAACATGTTGGTGTAGCATTCAGCATTAGCTTCTGCTAAATACCATGTAAGCAAAGTACTTTAGCATTAGCAGAACTAATATCTATGGTTAGCACAGCAATTTTTTTATTTAGTGGTGCTCATCACTGCTACTCAACACTTTGTGATCAAAGTGTATTTCAACAAATTAACAAGACAATCAGTGTAAATAAATCTGCTCAAAGCAAATTGCTGCTGGTAAAGTGGAGAAAGACACTGAAACATTGGAGTATTATTTGGTTTTTAATAGTTTCTGTTTCCAATCGATGGATGAAAAAGTAATTTTAAAAGAAAACATGAATATCAGCATCACTAATAAAGAGAATATTAAAGGAATCACAAATAAAGGTTTTTTACCTTGGAGAAGCGGCGGCTGTAGTGAGCCATGACGCTGGGGTCGGGGCATTCCAGCTTCTTGATGATCTCAAAGCTCTGGTTGAGCTGGGTGAAGATGTCCACCACGGAGCAGGAGAACAGCGCGTGCTCCGACGTCTGCTGGAACTAAATCACATTGGGTTTCAGTGTAGAAACAGCCGTTACTGGTGAAAACAGAGATATGACAGCTGAATGTTCCTACTCCGTCTTTCTTGTCTCTCTCCAGCGCTCCGTTCATGAACTCCATCGACACGTCCTCGTTTTCATCCAACCACTGCAGAACGAACTGCACAAACCAACTGGAACAGAAAATCGACTGTTAGCACTGACCTGCCCACGTTTCTCCTGCGTTCAAAACGTTTTCAGTCTTACGATGGATAATCAGGAACGACATCCTTAAAGATCGGAAGCTCCTTGACGTATTCATTGTAGAGCCACTTGACTTTAAAGTGCAGGTTCATGTAGTCGGTGCTTTTACACAGTCTGTGCTTCTCATGCTCTGTAGAAAAGGAGAAAACAATATTTATAAACCAAACAATCCTGCCTTTAATAATACAATTAATGCTTCAAAATGTAAGTTTTATTAAAATTTTTTTTTTTACATATTTGCTCAAACTGTCACCACAGATAATCTGTGAGAAGAACAATTTCCACCTCTTCCCTGAGCTACTATTGAAGAAATGCACCAAAAATAACAAATCAGAGGCAGGAGGAGGGACTTAGCGCTGTCAATCATCCTCAGGTACAACTTATCCACCGATGGCCATGCTAACTAGCCTTAGCATTCACAACAAGCTGTGCTAACTTAAGCCTTTTCTATAAAATGTTAAAAATACATTAACAGAAAAGATAATAATTTGAATAATTTTTAAATAAGAAAAACATTTTATTCCTTTAAAGAATTTGAACTGAGTGAATATAAAATATACCACAAATTAAAAGAAAAACTGTTTTCATTTTAAAGGCAATTACAGTAATTACAGGTCTGAATATATATTGAATATGTTTTATTCTGTGTAGTTCTGATAATGATTAATTGAGAAAAGATATCCTGCACAGTTTAACTGAATTTGAGTATAATTTAACAAAAGGAATCATGAAAGGATCTAAAGACCAACCTTCCAGAGCGTACTTCATGTCCTGAGCAAACAACGTCCACATGACTTCAGCTGAAACTTTTCCTACGCTCAGTTCCTGTGGAAACCTGGAGAAGGAAAACGTTTCACTCAGAAATCAAAAACATTCTGGGGAAAAACCGATTGAAACGGACGACTGACTGATTGAGCACAGGTGTGTAGGAGTTCCTGTCCTCCTCTATGATGGAGACGATCAGCATGATGAGTTTGGGCCAGAAGTCCAGGTTCTTGATGCTGGGGCCCTGCTCCTCTAGGGGGAGCTCCTCCTTGTTCTGGGTTACAGAAATTAAACCACAACTTCACCAAATCAAACAAAAAACAGCCATAAATCCAACAGAATCCCCATAATGCATCACTCACTGCGTCTGCAGGCTGGTACTGCCTGCTGTAGAGTTCGTGGCAGTTGTTGAAGATGTAGTCGTAGGTGGAGTTGAGGCAGGCTTTAACGCAGTCCCTCACCACCTGGCTGGCTCTGGGCGGAGACTGCAACTCCTGGACCTGAACGCCAGGCAGAGAAAAAACAACAACATCAAGTTACAACAGGAGGTTTGTCAGCTTCAGGAGATCCAAAACCAGTTCAGCTAGAGAGGAACCGATCCACCGTCAACGTCCTGTTTGGAAAGAAATTCTACAAAATCTCATCACAATATAAACGTTTCAGTCTAAATCACCGATTATTTAGTTTGTTGTTTTAATTATCTGAAAAACTATTATCCAGTTTCCTCTTGCCATTTCTGTCGCAACCAGTAACTGACAGGTTAATTTTTCCTCTTGTTAGAATAAATACAGAAAACCCGGTGTGAAGTCGGCCATATTGGAGCCGACGAACAGAAGAAGCTAAGATGTTAAAGAGCAAAATACCTGGAAAAAATAAGTAAATAAAGAAACTAACTTAATGTGAAGCATAAAAATGGAGAAACGTAGGAGTTTAGGGTGTTTTGTACCTTCATCCTGAAAGTGATGCTGGTCAGAAGATCCACGGTTGATTTCAAATCCTGCAGCCGATCTTTGCTGCTGGCAGGAAAATGGTTCTGCACAGAAAAAACATGAATTTAATGCACTGGAGGGTAAAGTTATTGCGATAAACGTTGTTGTTTTGAGGCAATTTTCAAATAATATAATAGAAATAGAAAAATATCACAAGAACATTTTGTTCAATATCAATAAATTTTACTTTCTAGCTAATTTCTCACATTGTGCAACCAAGAGTTTAGTGTTTGGAATGCAAATGATTTCACATGTAAGCATATTTACCTTTCTGAGTGAAAATATTCCAACATGTGATTTTTAATCATCTTTGAGGCGTTTCATAAATAAAACTTACCCGATAGGTGGAGAGATCAATACGTAAGGAGTTGTGAAGCTGGTCTAAAAGCTTGACAAAACGCTCCTTCTGCATTGTGAGGAAAGAGGAAATAAATGTAAAATTAATCACAGGGAGAAACGCTGAAAAAGGCAGAGAGAAGAGAAGAACGCAGGCGTTGTTGTTCGTGTCACAGCTGTACGAACCCCAAAGTTGGAAGCAGCGAAACGGTCGGAGGCGGACACATTGGTGGAGGCGGTAGTGTGGGCGTAGAAAGCATTGATATTAGCCAGCAGGCTGCTCATCACTGCAGGAACCCCAGGACACATGTACTTAGTGGACAAGCAGGCAAAGTGTCTGGAAACAGAGACACAGTCAAAGTTAGGGGAGGAAAAATGTTGGTTTGGATGTACGGAGGCCAAGAAGGGCCAACAAAGTGGAAACACCTCGACAACAAAAAGCAACCATGAAAGTTATGCTAAGATTGGTAGCATAACTTCCACTTAAAAATAAAAGCTAAAATTGAATTCATATTAAACTTGGAAGTTTAGAATACGTTCTGTGCTAAAGGGAATTCGTCTTTCAACAAAAATTGTGTTTTAGCACAAAAGTTTGAATAATCTTGGATACATAACTTCTGCTGCTGCTTTCGATGTTACATTGTGGTTTATATTATTTTGATTTAAAAGTCGTAGATTTGTCTTAATTTATAATTGGGGGGACACAAGAAAAATCAATCCCGGGTCCACAAATGGCCCCCGAACCAGACTTTGAACATCCTCGGTCTGAAGAGCCACATGCAGCTGCAGGCTTTTAATTTGTACAGACAGGAAGTGGGAGCGCCTGCGACTCACGTCATGGCTTGGTAAATGGCTTCGATCCCGTAGCGCATTGCGAACTCGTCCACTATCTCCTGCGCCACGTCATCAAAGTAAAGTTTCCAGGAGTCGTCTCCTCTGGCCTCGGGGATCCGAACCGCACCCTGACCCAGAACGTCGGTGGAAAAGTGGAACAGGTTCTGCAGAAGGAAAGCAATTCAGAACCAGAGGATTAAAATGAATAACGCAACAAACTCATGGAAGATGAGTTTGTTGCATGACTTAAAATTCTGATTTCTCAAAATTCAGACTTTTTATCAATATTAAGAAAAAGTCTAAATTTTATTGAATATTTTTCAATAAAATTTGACTTTTTTCCTCAAATTTTTGACATTTTTCTAGGAATTTTGACATTAATATCAAAAGTCTGACTTTTTTCCTAAATTCTGCTTTTATTTTTCAAAAATCTGACTTTCACAATATTCTAACTTTCTCAAAACTACATTTTCTCAGAATTTGGACATTTTTCTCAAACGTCTGACTTCCTCAGTGGCCCACATCCTTCTCCGTATTTTGTAAAAGCATCTGGTTGGTTTGTCGCTGTACCTCGTGCAGGCAGGTGTACTGGACGTGGTACGGAGCCACTTTCTCTTCTCCTTTGATCTCCACGTTGATCTGGAGGCGGATGGCTCCCGACACGGCCGACTTGTCCGTCCGTTTCTCTGCAGCAAACACATTCAGTCCTTGTTGATTCATAACTCGGCTCCAGCTCTGGAGCTGCATGTTACACATGATCTGTTTTCTGTAATTACAGGTCATTAACATGGCAGCTCCATGGCAGGGAGTCGGTTTCTGCAGCACTAATGGAAATATTCTGGCAGGGCAACGGCGGCTCAGCCTGCTATTTGCCCTGACAGGGGCATTATTAGGGGCAATTTTCACATGTAGCAGAACGGTTGATTTGCAGCTGATTATCTCATGTTGTGAGGGGAAAAAATGGGGAGAAAGGAGAATTTCTAGCAGAAGCTAATGCTAAAATGCTACAAAAACTCAGTATTGTCATTGTTCTTATTGGTAATCTGATTAATTTGTCTTGTTTTTGACCCTTTTTGTTTCTGTGTGAACCTCTGTATTTGTATTTTTCCACACTGTACTGACCCAGGTTGTACCAGACGTCCATTTCTCCGCTCAGCGTTCGAACTTCGATGATACTCTGACCCAGGAAATCGTCTGACTCCCTCTTCAGACGCTGCTTCACTCTGGACTTGATGTCATCGTCTTCGTCCCAAACACGAACTTTGATGCGATCTGAAGAATTATGGCACTCGCTAAAGTAAGAAAAGAAAAGATTAGTTAAGCAATACAAACTTATCATAAAAAGTATTTCCCGTTCTAACAATGCGTCTTGGCTATTAAGCCATTCGTTTCCCTTCAAGGGCGGCCATATTTATAGGATAAATGAAAATAAATTTTTACTGCCAATGGCATTGTTAAAACAAAATAAGCATTTTAAAAAACTTTTTCATGTTTGGATTTCCAAACCAAGATGAATCTTTACTTACAAGTGGAACTTTTCCTCCCAGACGGGGTTGAGGTTCCCATAGATGGTTTTGGTTCTCTTCTTGGTCTTCCCCACCTGAACGGTCACATACGGGTCACTGGAACCGGTCTTGTCTTTCGCTTGCAGCCCCTGCGCACAAACCACTGCAACAAAGACAAACATAACCGTAGACAGAGATCAAGCTATGCAGACTGAGGAGGTAAGCTTTAAATAAACGTATTGATCAGACCTGTGATGGTGATCTTGGCCGACCACTTTGACGTCCCGTCCAACACGCTCTGCTTGATGGTCTTCATTTGCTGAGCGTGAATGGCTTTGGTGACGACGAAGACCTCTCTGATCAGCTCAAAGATCTCAGGTTTGTTCCTCTCTCGGATCTTCATCCTGTCTTTCATGGCCATGATGATATTCTGGGTCCGGTCTTCTGCTCCGTGTTTGGAGCTTTTCTCAGCTGCGCCTGCAAATTCACCAGAAAGTTAAAAACACCAACTGACAGAATGCAGTGCACCAATTGGAGATTCCAGATGTAAACATGAAACATGAAACTTGTCTATGCTCACGTTGTAAACAATCCGCATTAAGCAGCTCTTGGCACTTTTCATGGCACTTAACGCCACACTCGGAGCAGCGCATGCCCTGGCGGGCGATTCCCCACAGCAGCCCCTCACACTCATAGCAGTAAGTGGGAGTGGTGGCCGTCCACACCTCAAAGTTATGCGGCGTCGTGCAGGAAATGGGGTAGATGAGCGCCTGCAGGGTCTTCTTGTAAACGTGGTTTTTCTACAAATGGATGGAGAGTATCTGTTTATGTAGATGAAGATATAGATGAACATTTTTGACTCTTTCTTCTAAGCTAAGACCAATTTCCTTTGAGTCAAACCAGAAAGCAAGAATGACTCCAATTAACTCACATGTGTCAGTTGACCAATGAGAAGCTTGTCTATGGAAACCCATGGTATTTAAAAGTTTACATACCAAGTGTATGTAAACTTTTGAATTTAGCAAATTGAAATAATTGAGGTAATTATAAGCTAAAACAAGAAAAGTTTGGTCTGATTTAACTTCAGACTGTGAGGAAAAGGATGCTTTGTGTATGTAAATATCCAGTTTCAACTGAAAAAATGTAAATGATTCGTCTTTCTAAAAACTATACTGAAATAAAGGCAGATAAAAATAAAAACCAGCAAAGCAGTTTGACTCACCAGCTCCTCGTCTTTGACCGAGGATCGTGCCGCCATGGCGGAGGCGATCCCTGCCTTTCTGGCTTGGACGAGCGACTGAACGGGGGACATTTGCATAAGTTTGCATCCGGTAAACAAATTGATGTGCCACACACGAAAAAGAAAAAAACCCAATAAAGGTCCATTTTTATTGCTGTAGCAGTTTGGAGTGACGGTGGTTAGAGGAGAGGTCAGTAGGGTTAGAAAAGTTTGGTTTTTATCAGTCAACCCCTTAAAGGAGGAAACAAACCCATCGGAGTGTTGTTAGTTTTGAAGCAGATCAACAGAAAATTCAGACCAGAAGCTTGAATCAGAAAGCAGCACTTACTTACAAAGTATATTTGGTTTAGTTTTTAGTGCAAATATCATACGCTTGAAATAAGACAAAACGAACCTATCAATAACTCCTTATAATAAAGGACTTATTGATAGGTTCGTTTTGTCTTATTTTAAGTGAACTAAGATATTTTTACTGCAAACTGGATCACAATACTTGGTGATATGTTGTGACTTTGCAATGTGAACTGTGTTAGTGCCCTGGAGTTTCTAACTAACAGAGGTGAGGAAAGCCACAGGGTGAGGAAATGATTGGTGAACAATATTTAATTGATAAAATGAAGCAGGAAGAAGAGTCACCCAGGACCGACAGGGTGCATGCACGTTTCTATCCAGATTAAACCGCTGCACCATGCTGCTAATGTTTTATTACCCTCTACGGTTTGGTACTTTATCTATTTTTACCTGAGGAGGAAAAGGGGAGGGACATCTCTGTCTATAACTTACCATAGCCTGACCAGGAAGAGAGAATGCATTCAAGAGAGTTGTGGGGGAATAGTTTCAGGTTTAGGAGAGGAGGGAGAGAAAAATTAGCATTCGTTTTTCACTACACACATTTGTTTTAATTCAGCCTGGTAATAAACTGACATGTTGAAGATCATATAGTACATGGAAGTCATAAAGTATTTATGGTTTCTGTGCCCTTTTGACATTGTTCTTAGTTAGAGATGCTACTTTTACATTTTTATAAGAAAATGCTCATTTTTTCCTCTACCAATGTGGACAAAGAAGGACTTCATCCTGGAGAGACGTTCATGTTTACATTTTTACATGCAAATGTGAACTTTTTCCTTTCACTTTTTTTTATAGCTAAAAAGGGTTTACTTTCACAGAAGCTCTTTGTTTTTGTTAAAAAGTTTTTAATATGTTTGCACAATGGTTCCCAAAGATTTTCTTCTTAGTTCCCCTTATGGATTACAATAAAATCCCCCCAAAAGTAAAAAAAAAAAAAAGAAAATCAACTAGGCTGTAACATCTGTTTCACAATAAAAACTTAAAGCTAAGACAAAGAAGCAAACAACATAACATGACAGATAGAAGAGAATGAATGAACGGTACTGACCACCTCGCTGACCAGGGGGAAGGGCTTCTTCTTACGCAAATCTGGCATGCTGTCGATTCCATACAGGCCAGATCCACCGCTGCCAACATAATGAGGGCAGAAACTCATAAAACACAGAAAACCTCCACTAGATCTGCACTGGCACCATAAACTCCTTCCCTCCTGGTCAAAGCATTCAAGCTGTGATCAGTAAACTTGTAATAAGAAGGTAAAACTTACCCTGGTTTGACCCAGGCCTGTCTGCTGTTGGGCTCCACATCTCTGACCTGTGGGAATATTTTAAAGATTTTAGGTTGAAGACATTTTGAGAGGAAAGGAGAAACGGTTCTGGTTGAGGTTAACCTCTCTGATGTCACATAAAAAACTCATTAAGTTATTAAACTCAGTAGCTGTACATATGGTATCCTGGTGATGGCGAAAAGAAGAAAAAGAACAAAAATATACTTTATTTTTCCACAGTGGGGACAGACTAGTGGTAGCATGCAAATTCACACACAGGTCAAAATATTAAAAAATACAGATTTATAACAGTGTAGAGGAATATTTATCAGTTGTTGATATCGGCTTACTTTTCAGATCGAAACCAATATTTTAATGCAGATACTTTCTAACCGGCATTGGTGGTAAAACTTGTGAACAAAACAAATGAAAACATAAAACACACACAACATAAAACATAAAACACATTTTTATTTTCTTTAGAGGTAACAAGTAAAAATAAAACAACACCACAAAGAAACATGGGCGAATAATTAAAATATTTTATGTGTAACCTGATTTTCTTCTCTTCCAAACTCTGAAAAGGGAAAAAACAAACAGATCATGGAGAATATAAACCACATAAAGTGGTTTAAATTATTTTTCTTTTAAATTCAAGTGCATCAGACTCTGCGTTCACTTGTTGGTCAATTGTGATTTTTGGCTGAAATGCAATTTTTCATCCCCACACCCAGATTATCCAAAAATTAAATCTTCAAAACACCAATTAATACCTAACCCTAATTTCTGGCATTGTAATTAAAGTTAGAGAAGAAGAACCTGAATGCATTTTTAGAGATACCTGGGATGAATTCGTCTTGCGATTGGGATCCCTGAGATCCCTGAGACCCGTAGGAACCCTGAGTGGATCTGGAGAGTCGACGCTGTGTCTGTCTTTTTTCTCTCAATATGCGCTGAAAATTAGCAATTCGCTCTCTATGGCTGGGATCAGTTGGTTTCGCTTGGTCTCCCTCAGCAGTGGGACCATTTTCGCTGATTGGGTCCAGAAGACTTTTCGGCCGTACTGCAGGACTGTGGTTTGGGGTTACGTCAACGCTGGACAACTCTCCACTGCTCTCCTCAGTTTTTGTGCCAATTCTAATTTATACTTGGTTGGAGTGGGAAGTTCTTGTGGAGAAACTGGTGTCTTGTCATGTGTTTGACTACTCCCACAGTCCCGCATTGCAGAGGTAAATTGGTGAACTTCCTTCTCATTGGGTTCACCGGCTCGTCCAACCGGTGATGGAGACAAGTGAGAGTCAGTCACTCCCTCAGGGTTGGGCACTGAAATCTTCCTCATTTCCCCTTTTAAAGCAGAACTAAAAGTGACCACAGCCTCGCTGAACATTGTTTCATCAACCTTGTCAATGGGGGTTTGGGGTATGGTCTCTGAATCTATGTCAGAAGATGTTTGTGATAATGATTCCAATACTTCCCCTCTGGAAAGGCTCTGGTCTGTCCATTCCCTGTCCAGACTCTCAGCGGACCCGAGATCAAGAGTATCCGCAGAAGATGGATATTCATCGCAGGGTGAATGTTGTGCCGGGTAACCGTCATCGCAATCAGTCAACAGAACGGTAGAGCAGCTCAAGCTCCTCGATGGCTCGCTGTCCAGGTCGTTTGCGCAGGCGTCTGTTGTGTGGTAACCAGAACTTCGGGAATATGGACAGTTTGCAGCGCAGTCACAGTCCAGGGTTTCCTCCTCAGCTTCATCGGTTGGCCTCCATGCAGCCTTACTGGAAGAACTTGAGGAAGAGTGGTACTGCTGTCCAAACAACAGAGAAAGGTGCTCAGAACTGCTGTTTGGGGAAGATCCCACTCCAACACACGGTGGTTCCTTCTTCCAACCGTCTTGGCCACAAGAGGAGATGTCTTCTTCACTCCAACGCCAGACATTGCATTCTGTGTCACCAGAAGAAAAACCTGCTTCTTGGTAGTTTGAGCTATAGGACGATGACAGAGAGCTGGTGCTTTGGTAGTTTTGTCCACAATGACGTTCCGAGTTGCAGACGTCAGGATTTGAACTCTGCTCCAAGTTGTCAAAGCTAAATGGACGGAGAACACCATCAGTTTTGTTCTCTTCTTGCCAATGTTTAGTCGCTCTAGAGCCTGAATCTTCTCCATACAAGGTGTTATCCAACAGTGGACTGGGATCTCTCTCGTGGAGACACATGACGGCGTTCTGTCTGCCCAGACTTCCTCGTCTGATACGTGCCGTTTCAGGAACCGGACTCGGCTGAGGTGTGGCTGAAGCGCCGCAGTACAGCTCACCTATTTCACTGAGCACTGCGTCGACACAACAGGATACTTCATCCACTGAGCCGCGCACAGACGTTAAATACTGCCTCAGATCAGATATTTCCTCCTGGATCTTATTGATACCCTTCAGCTCTTTAAGGATGTTCTCCACTATGTTACCAGAACCTTTCTCTGCTTCCTCAACTGGCATCTTCTCCTGTGCACCATGTTTGGTATCATCCCCAGCTGCACTGCCGTCTTGGCGCTGAGATACTCTCTTTTCCCCAACTGAGGCTATGCTAGCTTTGTTGCTGGTAGAGTTGGCTGCTGAAACGTTACAAGGGGCATTATCTTCCATCCCCAGCGGCTTTCTGTGCAAGCTTTCCCCCAAGTCTGGACTCTTTGAGCTCTTCGTCTGCAGCTTGGCCTTTTGGGGAGACCTGAAGTGGATTTTCATCTTGTCCACCAGTCGTCCTTTGGGAACATTCCTGGGAGGTGGAGCTTGTTGTCAGCTGGTCCAGCGCATGGAAAACAGCGAGCTCTGCAACTGAGAGTAGCTACAGTAAATCTTTTTGTTGATGTTGAAGGGGAAAAAAAACATGATTTCAGTGATTTTGGCTTTTCAGTCCATGTTGGTCAGGAAACTTTGGAAAATGGTCGTTTCTTACTAATCAACAAATTTACAAGGTTTTTTGCTTTTGTCCACAGAATCCATCAACTTTCTGAACTAAAATTAGTTTTTTTAAACAGTCTTCATAAATATCTGGTTATTTCCACAGTAAGAGCAGAACAATGAAAGATTTACCAAAATATAATTCAACTTGGTGGATAAATTGTTGTTTTACAGACAAGTGAAGGATCTATTTCAGTCAGAGACAACTATAGTCTTTACAGTGCAGAAATCAGACAACTAGTCCAGTTTTCACTGACATCTCAGCTAAATTTGTGGAGGTAACAACCAGCAGCTGCTTAGCTGTCTGTAATTAGCAGCTCTGGAGAGACAGAGCAGCAATTAGACGACAAAACGATTCTTAATCCTGAAGTCACGTCAATCAGCTGCAACAGCTGATCACTCTGAAGTTAAAGTACAACACTTTACTGGGAAGGAAAACTAAATAAAACCTGATTTAATGGCAGATCATTTAGTCATTTTCTGTTTGAGAGTTTCAGTTACGCAAGAAAGGAAGAAAGAACGAGAGGAAAGAAAGAAGGAACAAAGAAAGGAGTAGGAAAGGATGAAATGGAGGGAAGAAAGGAAAGAAGGAGGGAAGGATGGAAAAAGAGTAAAGAAAGCAAAGAAGAAATGGCATAAGGACGGATGAATGAAAAGAAGGAGGGAAAGAAGTAAGAAAAGGAGACGAAATAGTGAAAAGAAGGAAGGAAAAAATGCAGTTTTTTCTGAAAACTAAATTAAAGCTGATATAAAAATGAAAAAAAAAATCTGAGTTTTAAAATAAAAGGAAGGAAACATTTAAATGTACCTTAAACAAAAAGCTGTCCTTACTTTGTCCTTTACTTTTCAGATTTCAGGGAATGAATCAGACGCCAAATGTTAACTGTGCTAAAAACACCAATAAGTAAAAATGTGAATACAGACCTTACCTTGTTGGGGATAAATCAGATCCACATGCTGAGAATCAGTGAAGCCTTTTGTTGCTTCATAAGATGTTTTGCTACATTTCAGACGATTTAACAGCTACAGCTTTAATTTCATTCACTTAAAGGAGAAGGATGAGGGAGGAGGCGGCGTTTCCTCAGAAAGGCATCATGGTTTCCCTCCCACCGCGTTCGATGCAGCTTCTCTTCCTCTCCTCTTCCTCTCCTCTTCCTCTCTCTCCGTATTTTCTGCCTAATTTCTAATCTGAGGCTGAAATGCAGCAAATTCTTACTTTTATTCATTCAATGTATCAAAGGATAATATTTACAGACAAGATCTTTTTCCCGTCATCTTAAGTGCAAAATTGATGTGTTTTCTATAAATTTTGTGTGTTGTTCTTCTGTAACTAATTGAGTAAAAGATTTCAATAACTGTTTCAACGTAACATGCTAAATCTTAAATGTTCCTGTAATATATGAAAGATAAAGAGACTAATTGTTGTCAATACAATATAAATATACAGTATAAGGTACCTACACACACACCATCGGTAGAGCAGGTGTTTAAATTAGCTAATAGTATTTATTTAATAGAGTTGTTCTGCATTTGGCTCCAGAGTTGAGTGCATGTGTGATATTTCCATATGTAAACAATAACATGCAGGGGATCCAGGCTGCAGCAACTGAAATACGAAACCTCTGCTAAAAGTCTTTTAAAAACGTTACCATTTAAGACTGATTGTAAAAATGGTATCAGAGAAAAACTATGCAGAAACTTCAAACATTTTAGCAAATGGTGAAACACCTAGAGAGGTTAAACTCAACCAGAGTCAAAGTTCATTTACTTCATCTTTGTGTTGGGAAAAGAAGTAATCGACTGAAAGAGAAGATTTTACCTCCCGAAGCTGAACTCTCACTTTGTTGATGGCTTTCAACCAACGAACTCTAGACGGGGAGAAAGGCAGCGGCTGGCCTCCATCATGGAATCTGAGATGGAGAGTTAACATCACAGATCTCTTCCACTTCAGTAAAAAGTAGAAACTCAAACCCCAACGTTACCTTGGGAGTTTTGGTGCTTCTTTCTCTGATGCGTCGCTCTTGAGACTCTGCAGTACTTCGTTGGACTGAATGTCTGCGTCCTTCTCGCTGCCAGTCGAGTGTCCGTTGGCGGGAGGCCCGGTGGGACGCGGCTGGCCGTTGGTGGACGGGTGTAAGCCGGTGCTATGGTAGGAGTGGAAAGACTCTTCCAGTTCGGAGCCGCCGGTGCTCTCATGGCCGGTCTCGCTTAGCTGCGAGCTAGCCTGGCTCAGGTTCCCCGACGACCCGAAACGATTACTTTCCACCGGACTACAGTTGTGAGAGAGGAGTGAGGGAAACATTCAGAAACTGACGGGACATTTTTCCATACCTTGTAGTTAAATCAGAGAAGCTGAGAGTACAGTGGGGACTTTTCAGTGGAATTTAAAACCTAATCCCATGAGTCCACTGAACTAATCGTCCCGCAAAAAAATATAACTGGCTTTAATAAATCCCACTTACCTGCTACAAGCCATGCGCACATAAAGTGTCAATTTTAGGGAAAAATGTTTGATCTTTTCATACAGTGTAAAACGATTTCAATGGGTTTGATCAAATCAGAACTCCGCAGTCAGACAAAACATATTGTAGCTCTTGACAAAGCAACAAAATTTCCAAATACAAGAAGAAATCGGTCTAAATAATTTATCAGATTTCTTCCTTATTCTGGTGTAAATTTATTTGGAGTTCTGATTTGAGAAAATTAAAACAACTGGAGTCAGACACACCAACACATTCACAACCACACTACGCAAGAGACAATGGACTGCAGAGCTGGACAGGGAACACATTTTAAAAGCTGTCAACGCAGCATAAATGGTGAAGGGGGATACCATTGATTATGTTTTTACTGGCCTTTTTTCAATCAATAGATCCTTCTTGGATTGGTTGTCCAGCTGCACTCCTGCGGCAGAACCTGCAGAGGGGTCTGTTTCTACAAGCCTCTCCTTCTCCGTTAGGGTCTGGGATGCTGAAGGATCTACATCAGGAGCTGAGATGCAAATCTGGGGGTTTACTATGTCATCTGCAGAACCTACCAGTTCGGTTTTATGGGGGTCAGGTGCTGAAGCCTTTTCTGCACTATGTGTTTGACCACTTGTTGGCTTGTTGACAGACTGGGGTTGAGATGTTGTAACCTGGGAAGCTGAAGACTTGGGGGCTCTGCCTGCCATGGAAAACTAATTTTTGCCCCAAACAATGACGTTGTGGGCTCTTGTTTCGCTGTGACTTTTTTCTTCTTGAAACAAGGTTCCAGAAAAGGATTTCAGTCCTGACAATAGACCACCGGTACCTTCTGTTTGAGGTAGTGATGAAACAACTGATGGCATAGCAGGAGAAAATAACGACCGAGAGATTTTCCTGCATCACTTTGTGCGGATATAAAACCCAAAAATGACTTAGTTTGAGGTTGTTCAGCACCACTGGGGGGTTGTTCAGTTGGGGTGGCTTTACTAGCATCCAAATGAGGAGGAATTGACTTAGCATTTTGATTAGAGTTGGGTTTTTCTTCAATGAACATTGGTTTCTCATGTATCACTTGTCTATCTGCAGTTGCCATTTCTTGCTCAGTCTTTTCTGGCTGACTAGTAAGTTCTTTTGAAGTATCTTCTGACTCAATCGCTCCAGAAACCTGTGCACAAGATGCGTTAGATGCCTGTCCATTACTGCTACTGTTTGTTACTTCTGTTTGATGCCTTTTCTGAGTTGTACTCTCACACATAGGCAGAGTTACTTCTGGTGAGATATTTTCATTTTCAGACTGTGAACCTGGTTTTGTAGTTGCTGTGGTAGATGTTGCAAGAGTGGTAGAGGTACTAGCAATTGTTGCATCACTACTGGCGGGGTGCCAGTACTGGTAGTAGTGGTAGTGGCAGCAATACTGACATTTTCTGCAGTAGCAGCATCTGTAGCAGTATGATCAGTTGCAGCTGTAGCAGGAGTTGCAGTAGTAGGAGCAGTTGCAGCAGCAGCAGGAGGAGGAGTAGCCAACCTTGGCTTAGCTGGCACTGGTTCAGGTGGTTTAGCCGGTTGTCTTAAACCACCAAACAGAGATCCTCCTATGCCTCCTAGTAAAGATGCTCCAGCTTGTGGTCCTGCAGGCTGCCCGGTGGGGCCACTAAACATTCCTCCAAGCAGAGAACCACCTGGCTGTGAAGTCGCCCCTGCACCTGCACCTCCAAACATCCCTCCGAGAAGTGATCCCCCACTTGAGGCAGCTGATGGTTTGGCAGTGGATCCTCCTCCAAACATGTCACCTAATATTGACCCCCCACTGACAGGTGCTGTGGTCTGAGGACCAGACTGTGGAGTAGCTCCTTTAAATAAGCCTCCTAGTAAAGATCCACCTGTTTGGGGAGTTGCCGATTGAGTATTAGACCCTCCAAAAAGTCCTCCCAACAGTGACGCTCCAGTTTGACCTGCAGGAGTTGGTCCAAAAGGCAAGTTCTTCTGCTGTTGGGTTGGTTGAGAGCCTTCAGTAGGAGCAGATGCAGGTTTAAACAGAGAAGACATAAAGCCAGTAACAGCATCTGCTGCTGAATCAATGGAAGATTTGTCTGGTTCTTGGGGTTTTTGCTGTGTCTCAACTGCAGGACTTACTGTCAAAGGATCCACTTTTTCCTCTTCTACTTTAGGAGTTGCTAAATCTTGAGTTGCACTAATTTTGAGTTCAGGTTGTGGTTGTGTGCAAGATTCTACTTCTTTAGCCTGGCTATCTTTAGTTAAAGATGCTGACTGTTCAGTACTTGGGAAATTATCTGTGACTTTTGCATCAGTTGTTGATGCATTGACCTCAGGGCAAGGGCCTTTACCCTCAGGTTGCTGCTGTGATTCCTTCTGCTCCGTGCTTTGGGCAGCAGAATCAATTACACCTGTTTCAACAGCAGTACATGTTTTGCTGTCAGAACTGTTTTTGTCCATTTCTGTAGGTGCTGTAGCTTGAGCAGACCCACTAAATACTGAAAACACACCTTTATTAGAGGCATCATTAGCACCAACGCTTGGTAAAATACCACCTAGAAAAGATGCACCAGTTTGTGCTGTAGCAGTTTGGGAAGACGATCCATCTAAAATCCCTCCTAGTAGAGAGCTTTTGTTTTGAGTTGTTGAACTTGTTTGAGGCACAGTAGGTGACGGTGCGGTGCCTCCAAAAATCCCACCCAAAATAGAAGTTTGAGATCCTGTGACCTGAGGACCGGATCCACCAAATAAGCTCCAAGTAATGATGACCCTGTCTGTGATCCTGCAGTTTGAGGAATAGACCCGCCAGTCTTTAGTAGGACCACCCTGAGACACAGGCGGAGCTGCAGAGCCTCCAAATAAACCACCAAGTAATGATCCTCCAGTCTGAGATGTAGTAGTTTGAGATGAGCTCCCTCCAAACATTGCCCCCAACAGTGAACCTCCAGGCTGAGAGGAAGGCTCAGGAGCAGAACCTCCAAACATAGAGAACAAACCTTTGCCTGGTGGCTCTTTGGAGCCTGAAGATGCTGGCAAAGATCCTGGAGGTGAAGGTCCTGTCTGGCTGCTAGCAGCCTCAGAACCTGGTGTAGAAAATAAAGACAGGAACCCTTTGCCTGGACCTTCTGAGGATGGAGGATGTGGGGCTGATCCAGTGAGCATCGAAAGCAGACCAGGAGCTGCTGATTCTTTAGCAGTACCAGGATCCTGGGGTGCCGTTGCTGCAACGGTTTCCTTAGGCATTTCAGTAGGCTCTGATGTAGGTTTGACAGATGAAACATCCATGTCTGCAATTGTGGCCTCTTCCTTATTGGACGGTTTGGTACTCAAAGCAATGTCACCTGGCAATTCAGCTGAAACACTGGTAGCTCTGGTCTCTGAATCACCCGTCTCTTCACGATGGCCACTGGAATCAGGTATTTGTGATAATTTTTGTTGTTGGGGTTCTTTGGAACCAATTGATGAGTTGGGAGTTTGTTGTGGTGACACAGTTGCTGGTGTAGAGGGAATATTTGGTGTTTGAGAATTTGTCGGGCCACTAAACATGGAAAACAAATTTTTTCGTGGACTTTCAGTGGAGCCAGATAATCCACCGAGCAGACCTCCGAGAACAGATGCAGCAGTCGGCTCTTGAGGTTGAGAAGGTATTTGTGGTGTAGACTGTACCTGAGGCTCCTTCCTTTGCTGTGATTGTGACTGAGGAGCTGCTTGGTGAGCTGGCGTAGTCGGTGGCTGAGGTTGCTGAGGGCCGGCATCACTGAACACTGAAAATAGTCCTTTCACTGTCCGTTCAGATGAACTTGATGACCCTTGCAAAAGTCCCCAAGAAAAGATTCTGATTGAGGTTGAGACTGTTGGGTGCTTGGCCCACCAAACATCGACATAAATCCTGTAGATGGAGGATCTTTTGGAAGAACAGTAGGTTTTTGTGAGGACTCAGCGTTCGGCTTGGTATGGCTAGCGGGTGGAGGAGCTGTTGATCCTCCAAACATTGATAACAGACTTTTACCAAATGTTTCTTGTTGAGGAGGCTGTTGAGCTGCACCTGGTGGGTGTGTTTGAGGTGTGGGTTCCGGTTTAGGAGCTGCCTGTTGAGGACTTGGCCCCGTAAACATTGAAAATATACTTTTACTAAATGATTCTTCCTGTGGAGCACTTGCTTGTGCAGACGTCTGTGGTGTTGATCCACCCAGCATATCGCCAATGGACAATCCAAAAAGTCCACCAGATGGTCCAGATGGTTTATTTCCAGCCTCCTGTTTTGTTTGCCCAGCAACTTCAGACTTGCTAGTTTCAACACCTTTGGGTAAATTGGAGGAGAAAACCTCAGACATACTTCTACCTGGTGTCTGCTGTGTTGGTTGCGCAGACTGGCCACCTGTTTGTTGTCTTACTTCACCTTTTGATGTAGATGTAGAGGAGAGAGCTCCCTCTGTAACACTCTGTTTCATTTGCTGTTTTTGTGGTGGAGGTGGAGAAGGTTCAGGACTAAATAAGCTGCCAATTGAACCAAAGAGATTTGACACACCTGTGCTCTCTTTATTTCCAGCGGCACTGCCTGTTAAGGAAGTAGTGCTCCCTCTCTTGCTTTGAAGATCAGGAGATGGCTGAGAAGATGTCTGGACATCTGGTTTAATTTCATCCATGCCTACAGCAGACTTGAGAAAACCCATAAAGCCTCCCTGCTGTTGTTCGGGTGGCTTTTCGCCTTTTGTATCCACTGGCTTATCAGTTGCAGGCGTAGGTTGTGCTGGTTTAATAGTAGATTGTTTTGGTGTAAAGGGTACAGTAACATTGGGCTTTGTTGTTGG